CAGGGGGGAAGGGATGGTGAGAGTTCCAACCCTCTAATCACATGGTTGGTTTTCCTGGCTTTCCAAAATCACCTCATTCACATAAACTCAAAAGGTGGTTGACAGTGGCTTGTTACAAATAGTAAGACACCTTTATTGCTAATAAGACACTTTTATTGCTCTCATCACAGAAAATGCCAAGGGCTTTAGGAGCTCTATGCCAGGAAGGACAAAGAGAACATATATTTTATTATAAATCACAATGTCACAGATAAAAATGTCTGTTGACTCATTCTTTCTTTACTGTACTGTACTTTTTTTTTTTCTTTACTGATGTTAGAGAGGGAGATATAAAAACATTGATGAGAGAGAACATCAACTGGCTGCCTCCTGCATGCCCCCCACTAGGGATTGGGCCCACAACCTGGGCATGTGAAGCACAAAAGTTGAAGTGCAAAGTGGCGAGGGACGACTATATATTCTTTCTGATTGGGGTTTCAGAATTCTCGAGATATATCCTATAAGTAGGATCACTGGGTCAAATGGCAGATCAACTTTTAATTTTTTGAGGAAGCACCATACTGTTTTCCACAGTGGCTGCACCAGTCTGCATTCCCACCAGCAGTATACCAGAATCCCCTTTTCTCCACACCCTCACCAGCACTTGTTTGATGATTTGTTAATGGCTGCCATTCTGGCAGGTGTGAGGTGATATCTCAGTTATTTTAATTTGCATCTCTCTGATGATTAGTGATGTTGAGCATTTCTTCATGTCTCTTGTCCATTTGTATGTCCTGTCTGGAGAGGTTTCTATTTAGGTCTTCTGCCCATTATTTATTTATTTATTTATTCATTCATTCATTCATTCATTCATTCATTCATTCTGAGCGAGGAAGAGGGAAGGGGAGAGAGAGAGAGATCAATTTGTTGTTTCAGTTATATATGCATTCATTGGTTACTTCTTGTATGTGCCCTGACCCACAACCTTGCTTATCAGGAAGACATTCTAACCGAGATATTTTTAATTGTATTTTTCAATTACAGTCACATTCAATATTATTTGTATTAGTTCAAGTGTACATAGCGGTTAAATAATCATATACTTTACAAAATGACTCCCCCAAATATCTCAAGTACTCACCTGGCATCATACATAGTTAAAACATTATTGACTATATTCCCTTTGCTGTACTTTACATCTCTGTGACTATTTTGTGACTACCAATGCGTACTTCTTAATCCCTTCACCCTTTCCACCCAGCCCCCAATGCCCCTCCCTCCCTTCAACCATCAGTCTGTTCTCTGTATTTATGAGTCTGTTTTGTTTGTTCATTTATTTTGTTTAGATTCCACATATAAGTGATATCATGGAATTTCTGTCTTATTTCACTAAGCATAATACCCTCTGGATCCATCCATGTTGTCACAAATGTTAAGATTTCATTCTTTCTATGGCAGTTTTGCTGGGCTGATAGTTATTTTTCTTTCGGTACATGAAAGATACTCCTTTTCCTTCTTTTGACAAACCAGGGTGGTTTTTTTTAGATTTTTCTTTCCACCTATGTTTAAGATTTTCCCTATCTTTGAAACTCTGCACTTTCAATGAGATGTGAGTAGGTAGAACTTTTTATTTACAGTGGAACCTCAGTTAATTCGTTCCGGAAGGCTGTTCAAGAAGCAATTTGTTAAAAAACCGAATCATTTATTCCCATTAGAAACCATGTAAATTGAATTAATCCATTCCAGACTCCCAAAATATTCCTCATTTTAACCTGTTTATATTTTAAATGGTATTTCAGAGGTGTTTTAAAATTGTGCTAATCATTGATTTTGCCATGCCATACTCAGTATCAGATAGGACATGCAAACACCTCTGTCACACTTATTCCTTTTTTGAGCTCTATGTTTGTCCTCACAACTTTCCTTTTCACTTTGCTATCTAACCTTCTAAGGACCCATAGTGACTTGCTGTACATATTTAATAATAGTAAGCAGCCTCCAACCAGGACCTCTCCAATTTTCTTTCGCAATCCAGACACAGAACACTGTGGATGACCTGATACTGGGATCATGTCAACCTCACTAGCAGGGATAGCCGGGAAATGATCTCCCAAATTCCTATCCCTGTATCTGAAGTTATTCACTCAGAGGAAGTTAACAGGGCACTGGGAAACACAGCAGCCAAACAGAATTGCTCACAGAAGAGAGAGACCAGCTTGGTATAACTGGGTAAAGGGCTCAGTTTCCACGGGCATTACCACGTGCCCTCTCTTGGCTCATTGGGGATTCAGTGATCCAGCCAGCCTTGCTTAACCTTCGCAGGGAAGCACTCTCGCACTGGCTCTGACTAGTGCAAGAGTGACTGGGGAGAAGGGAAAAAAATGCCTTTTTATTATTAACAAGACTGAGGGAGGCAGTCTATTATTTCGGGGTGGGGTGACATCCGTCAACAAAAAATGATCTTCTCACTCTCCGGGAAGCATTAAGAGCAGTGATAGGAGAAATAATTGCTTATGCCAAGTGCAAAGAAAAGATGCCTCCATGGAATGGAGCCCTTTAGCAAGGCAGGTGGATGCTGGGGGAAGGAGGGAGGCATGGATCCCTGATGACCCCTGGTGAGAGAGAAGTGGGAGGGGCAAACTGGAACCTGCAAAACAGAAGTGTGGAAAGATTCCCCTGGAGGCTCTGTTAGTGCTGTTAGAAGAATAAAGTGTGAATGGAGAAATGGCTAAGCAGCATCACAGCACAGAGAGGCTGGAATAAAGAGCTCACTCTCCCTCTTCCTCCTGGGGAAGGGAAATTTTTCCCTCTGAAAAGCCTTCACTCATACACCTACTCCTTCTCTAGTCCTGCTCCCCCCGGAACTGAAAAAAGAAAAAAAAACTTAATAGTAAACAGCAACAAAAGCAAAAAAAACATAAAAACATTCACCCCACAATTTCTTGAGATGTTAACACAAGGTTTAGTGGTAAACTGACTCATCCATATGCATTCTCTCCTTTGTTGCCTGAGAGACGTGTAAATAATCATACAGGTATCAGCATGAAAGGATTGTGGGGTTGAGAACTGAAGTTTTGTTCAACCAATGCATTTTTTCCAAGAACATGTTGGTCAACAAACAAATTGTTTAAGATGAGAGATGTTTGAAAACCAAGGTTTAACTATACTGCCGGGGACCTATTGGGCTTCCTGAGTCTAAGAATGTCTCGGTTGGAGCATCGTTCCATGCATCAAAAGGTTGCAGGTTCGACTGTCAGTCAGGGCACATTCCTAGGTTGTGGGTTCGATCCCTGGTCAGGGTGCGAATGAGTGGCAACCTATAGATTTCTTTCACTCTCGCTAAACATATACTCAGATGAGGATTTTTTAAAAAATTACTTCCATCAATTCTGGAAAGCTCTCAGCCTATTTCTGTGAACATCACCCCTGCCCCATGTCCTTTCTTCTCCTCTGTAATGCCTGCCACCTTAGATTACTATGTTATAGACCTCTCTCTGCCTGCCTCTTCACCTCCTCATTCCCAACCTCTTTTCTGTGCTCATTCTAGGACCATCTCTTCATTGTAGGATCATTTTTTTCAGATCAGTTTCCCAATTCTTCCAAAATATATCCATAATTTTTAAATATTTTATTTCTAGAAATTCTCTTTTAGGCTCTTGCTTACTATTAAATTCCTTATTTCTTTAAATATAGTAATATACGTTTTTCATACTATGTGTCTGGTTACATATCTGAAAATTTGTGAGTTTGTTTTTGTGCTCATTTTGTTTCTTTGAGGGTTAAGTGAGTGTTTCTGGGTTCTTTGTTTTGGCAACGAATGCTTATTTATTCCTTAGACCCTTCTCCTACGTAAGGCCTGAGTTGGACAAGGGTTTCTGCAGGATGTTTTACACCTGCATTTCCCGGCTCCTAGAAATACTACCACCAGGGCTATTTTTTTGTTTTTGTTTACTATTAGTAGACCACCTATTTTTCAGAACTTGACACTTTTTTTGTTTGTTCTTTGCTTTTTATGAATTTTTTAGAGAGAGGGATAGAAACATCAATCTGAGAGAGAAATATCCATCAGCTGCCTCCTGTGAGCCTCCTACTGGGGGATTGAGCTCCCAACCCGAGCATGTGCCCTGACTGGGAACCAAACCAGTGACCTCCTGGTACATGGGATGATGTTCAACCAACCAAGCCACACTGGCTGGGATACACTTTTTATAAAACAAACTAAGCAGATGTGAAAACCAGCAAAGAGCCTTTTGGGCACCTGCACCAATTTTCATGGATCAGGGTTCATGAAGTTGGAGGCAGATGTGAAGATGTGAAGACTGGACCCAACTGGCACTGGGGGGCTGCTCCAGAATCACTAGAGGTCAAGCCTTCTGCATGTTTCCGTGAAAGCTGGTATGGTTTGTCCATGTGTGGCAGCCTCCTTCTAAAAGTACTAAGGTATAACATGGAACACATATTTGAATCTGAACCAGTATTTTAAGGTTCTTCTTACCTGAACAAACCCTGAAGATGGTTATAGAAATCCCCCATGCTGAAAAAAATAAAAACCATGACCAGCCTTCTTTTCTTTTCTCATGGCTCAGTCTTCCGCCAATGGCTCTGATGTGCTATAAACACCACTGCCCAGTGAAAAGACTGTGGGAACACATCTACCCAAGAGGGACAGTATGGCCTGCAAGGCTGGCCTCCAGGCTCAGGTCACCCAGACACAGAGGGACCTGGACTCCTGAGCCAAGGTCTCAGCATCAGTAAAAGAAAACAGACACAAAGAGAGTGCCAGAAGCAGAGCTGTGACAGGTAATTGCCCTGGCCATTAGCATAAGAGCTCGAGTCCTTTATTTATGTTGTGAGGACAATGCTATTCCTGTTTAGAAGGTGACATATCTTAATTTCCTTCACCTCAGGAGATGTGCATCAGAATGAGCCTTGCGGGGGGGGGGGGGGGGGGGCTGCCTGGGCCCTCACTTTCAATGCCCCAGTGCCACACTGGGTCCCCTTCCCCTTAGGTGCCCCTCATCTCCTCCTGGGATGACTCCAAATCTACATTTGGCTGAGGTTTTTAGCAGGGTCCTGCCACTCTGCCTGGCACCGGGTTTTTTCCTTCCCCATTTGGCCCTCCTGGGATAGGCCTGGCTGTCTCCTTGCCCTGGGCCTCAGACCATAGCTCAGAGCCCCGACCTCTGAAGCCTCTGACCTTCTTGTCAACCCAGCCAACCCAGGAGCTCTGCTAAAATATTTTATCTGGTGTGCTTGGCTATTTGACCTTCTCTATATACCTAGCCTGCCCAAACCAAGTCCCAGCACCTTACACCAAAATAAAATTAGAATCCAACATGAGCCACTTGTGGGTCAAACTTTAATATTTACTCTAAGGCATCACTGGGTCATCTGTAACAACAATCACACAGCAGTGGGAGAATAGACATCAGTGGTTTAAAGGGGGAAACAAGGAGTCCTCTTAACTGTGAAGGCATGGCCATATCCACATCAGAAAACAGTGGTAGTAAACCAATCAGAAGCTCCTCTCTGCATGAAGGCTCTGGAAGGAGGAGGAGGCTGCCTAGACCACCAAGGGGCCAATGCTGTGGAGCTGCAGTGCCCACTGTGAAATAGTACCAGGACTCCTATGGCCAGCACCCTGAGTGTAGAGGTGTACTTGGAGAACCTCTTGTAGTGCTTGGGGGCAGCACGTACCTCAATCTGTAGACACACCACCACACCCCACACACGATTCTTGCCTTGAGACATGCCTCAAACCCACAAAGACAATTCCCAGAGCCACCTACCCCTTGCCATCCCCAAAGGCTCCATTGCCTTGGTGCCAGGTCTGCCCTGGAGCAGGCTGAGCGGTCTGGAAGGTGGGGGAAGTCCCACAAGCACAGTTTCCTGCTCCTGTCCTTGGCTGATGGACAAATGGCTTCCAAATTAACATGGTTTGGAACCGCATCTGGGGTCTGCTGGAAGATGGGGTTCAGCTCGGCAGAGGCAGGCACAAGGCTGGCTGGTCTCTCTGTGGGAAGCATGGTGGGATGGAAAGGCCTGGCAACAGCAGCATGCCTGCCACAAATGTAGCCCCAGGAGCCTCACGTACACTTGAGGACCTTCTAACAATATATGCCTTTCATGAGGGCAGCCGGCAGGTGTGCAGAGAGACAGAGGCACTCTGTGGGAGGGCACGGACATCTGGGCTACTTGGTGACTGTGGGCCACCAGTCTGGCACAGATGTAACCAGGGCCACCCGGCCACTCCCTGTGGTTCTGATGTGGAGAGGACCCTTGATTTTTTCCAAGTACAACAGGGCCAGTCCCACATTCCCCTGGCCTGCCCTGTACTTGCCAGCAGCCTGTCCAGACTCAGTGAGCACTGTGGTACCAGGGGTGATGCTGCCCACAGGGAAAGAGCCCAAGAGCTGCACTGGGAAGAGGCGCTTTCGGATGACACCCATGTGGTGGGTGCGGGCTGTCAGCTCCTGGCCAACATAGCAGCCTTTGGTGAAGCTGATACCATTCATGAAAGCTAGGTTGGACTCCAGGGGCAGGGCCACTCCTGGGGGCAGGTCGTGGACCCCCTCAGGAACACCTGTGAGGGTAGAAAGGGAGAAACAAGATGAGGGCTGAGGTGTCCTCCATAGCCAGGGCTCAGCCAAGGGAGATCAGGCATGGCCCCTCCTACCTTTGTAGTACCCCAAACTCTGCCTGCCACCCCCACCATTCCCTGTTCCCTGGTGAGCAGGATGTTTGGCCCTCAATCCTACTTGCTAGAAAAGAGAACCTCCTAGCCTGACCCAGCCATGTTTGCTCCAATAGCTCCTCCTAGTGCCTCTGGGCTCCCAACTGGACCCAGCATTCCAGCCCCTCCCACTCTACCCATGTAGTCCCTGAGTGGTCCCACCAGGGCTTCCATACCTTGCTGGTACCGGTGGCGGTGGTAATCCCAGACGTCTGCTAGCCGGCCCCTGGGCACCAGGGCAGGGCTCTCATCCTGGGTGAGGAGCCGCCAGCCCATGTGGGTAGTGCGGGGGTCGCGGGTGAGGATGGTGGTGCCCTGGTGCTTGGGCAGAGGCTCAGCTCCACTCGCCTCCTCGGGAATGCCTGGTAGAACTGCCCAAACATGCAACTCAGGGCATGGCTCCACCAAGACCTTCCGCCGTATCTTGTGCAGCACCAGGTGCTTCTGCAGTGCACCCAGCACTGAACTGTCACATTCCAGGAGGAAGGTGGGACCTTGGTCTGCATGCTCAGGGAGCCTGTGGGAAGAACAGAGGCACGTGGTGATAATATCTAGTAATTATCAAGATATTAATAACAGGAAAGGAGCAAAGAGAAGGCCAGACATTGTAGGCATGTTCCCTGCAGAACAATGGGGGAAGGGAACTGGACAAAGGGAAGATAGACACATGCCCAAGTAAAGTTGGGGTAACAGGGAAGGTGCTGCCGTCAGTCACACCTGGGAACAGAGGTAATTGGCCAGAATGGACATGGCCACTGCAAGGGGGTAAAGATTTGGGATATATAAACCCCTGAAGAAAGAAGCTCACTCTCAGAAGCTCGCTCTCTTTCTTGGCTTTCTTGGGACTCATGTGACTCTGGGCTTGTAGGCCTCTTTTGCTCCTGCTTCCCTACATTCAATTTCATGGCCCATGACCATATGAACCCCACACACAGTAGACTAATGGACTGTAACTAGCTTGATGCTGTACTGGACCCAGCTTCAACATGGAAAGGAAACTCTGGACACTGGCTTTGTTTATAGCTATACTGAAACCCCAGCTACACTTCTTCTATGACAAGACTAAGAAAAACGTGACTTTGGAAACCTAGGGATGTAATTCCATGGAAGTAAAGCTTTCTACCATATCCCATTGCCCCATGGGAGCCTCCAAAAATGCTTATTCCAGTGGTACCACAAGAACCCCACTTCCACCACTAACAATGTGAGGGTCGGCAGGGTATCGCAACGCAGAACCAGCACACAGAGCCAGGCCAGGGCCTCCCAATCCTCTGGTCCCATGTGCAGTGTAGTGCACACAGGAGACTCCAGAGCCAGCACAGGACCCTTCCGTGCCCTTCCCACCCAGGCCACAGGCACAAACATGCACATGACAAGGGTCAGCAGGTGGTATCTGGCACTCAAAATGAGGCAGAAAGATACTGAAACCCGCCCTGGCCAGTTTGGCTCAGCAGTTGAGCATCAGCCTGCGGACCAGAGAGTCCCGGGTTTGGTTCCTGCTAGGGGCACGTACCACAAAACAAAACAAAACAAAACAAAGTACTGACACCCATCCTGAAGATAGGACCTGCCTCCTCCAGCCCCAGAAGCCACCAAAAAAGCCAGGGTCCTAAGGCTGAGTTGGGTTGGGGGGCACTCTAAAGCAGTGAGGCCACACCTAACCACGCTCACCTCCCACCTTCCCAGTGCAAACCCGAGAACCATCCTAACCCACACTCCAGGCAGCCCATGTCCAAGCAAATGACCCCAGGATTCTGATGTGCTGACCAGGTAGACGGCAGGGCTCCTTCAGATAAATAAGCACAGAGGACTAGTGCAGTGTTAGACATGGTGAGGGTGGGGGGCAGTGAGGCTTGATGGAACTGTTCAGGAACAACTGGGGTTCGGATTGCAGATGTGGACTAAATAAGGTCCCACTGTGGTGGCAGCTGAGATGGGGAAGTGAGTAAGACCTGGGAGCAGGGACAAGAGTGAAAGGCCATCAGCTGGTACCCCCACCTACCCCCAGAGCCCATCAACTGGTATGCCAAATCTCAGTGGACTCACCCTATGTACACACCCTGTTGTGTCCATACACTCATCTCACAAAGCCAGTGGCCATGAGTCTGCTAAGCATGAGGTAATGAAGCGGGTAGGGTGGGGAAGGGCACCTGCCACAGCAAGTCAGGCTGGCCCCTCACCTTCTAAATATCCTCAAGAACATAAAAAATGAGGTCAGCTGAACAGCCAGAAGAAACAGCTCAGAGGAGCTGACACAAATAAGCACAGGAAAAGAGTTCAGCATCATCCTCAAGACGCAAATGCAAATCAAAACCGTCAGGGACAGGCTCTGGCCAAGTATCTCAGTTGGCTAGAGCATCATCTGGATACTCCAAGGTTGTGGTTCAATCCCTAGTCAAGGTACATACAAGAATCAACCAATGAATGTATAAATAAGTAGAACAACAAATCTCTCTTTTCTTTCCTCTCTCTCTCTAAAATAAATAAGTAAATGCTTTAAAAACCCAGCAGGGACACCACAAAGTGGTCACAGGGCTGAAATAAAAACAGTACCACCCCACGCTAGCAAGGATGTGAGAAGCTGACACTCAGTGTTAGTGGTAGGAATGTAAGTACAGTGGCTCTAAAGTAGATCCTTATAAAACTAAACATCAGCTACCACATGACCTGCCACTGCACTCCTGGACACTAACGCGACAGAAATGGAAACTTGTGTTCACATAAGAACCTGTACACAAATGTTAGTAGCAATTTCACACATAATAGCCAAAGAGTGACACAAAACTATCGTTCAGTGGGTTAAATGTTAAATGGACTTGTTCACCCCCTCAATGGAATACTATTCAGCAAGGAAACGGAATGGACCACTGATACCAGCTGGATGGAGGTGAAGGGCATTAGGGGCAGTGACTATTTGTACAACATTCCTGAAATGCCACAATCACAGGGATAGAGGGAAAACAGGCAAGAAGCTGTAGGTCTGAGGGGATGGCAAAGGAGAGTGTGCCTACAGAAAGTATGGCCCATGTCCACCCCCTGGACACAGCAGGCAAGATGTTGCCATTTGGAGAACTAGACTCAGGACATGGGACCTTCCTGTACATTTTTTTTTTTTTTTTGCTTCTGTGAATCTACAATTACAACAACAAACTTTTTAAAAAGGAAGCTGCCTCTGGGGAGGGTAGATCCATATGGGTGAGAAGGGAGGCAGCAGTCACTTTCCATTATAAGCCTTCTAACATTCTTGTTTTTTTTTAACCATGTGCAAGTATATATGTACTTTTTAAAAATCCTGAGTAGAGACAACATGACTAGAAACAAGGAAGTGGAGGGCCATCTGAAACCCAGCAGTATCCCAGGCAAAACAGCCCCCAGAGACTAGCACACAGATATGAGAGTGTACAGCCAAAGCCAGCACAGCTGGGACCAAAACCAGGAGTATCTTCTCAGCAGCTAGCATGTCAGGAAGGTTTCCACCAGGAGGTGGGAGGCCCATGAAACACATACATGGTAGGAATGAGAAAAGACCTTCAAAAACTACAGCCTTGTCCTGGCCCTTGTGGCTCAGTTGGTTGAGCATTGTCCCATGCACTGAGAGGTTGCTGGTTTGGTTCCAGGTCAGGGCACATGTCTGGGTTGTGGGCTTGATTCCCATTAGGGGGTGTGCAGGAAGCAGCCGACTGATCGGTTTCTCTCAACGATGTTTTACTCTATCCCTCTCCTTTCCTCTCTAACAAAAATCAACAAAAACGTAAAAAAAAAAAAAAAAAAAACCTACAGCCTTGTTAGAGAAAAGGATAAGACAGGCCACAGATTGAAAAACGTTTTAAAAGTCTCCTCTGACAAAGGACTAACTGTCATCCAAAACACACACACACACACACACACACACACACACACACACACACAGCAGTTAAACCCCAACAATAAGAAAACAACCAGGAGACCTGGCTGGTTTGGCTCAGCACTTAGAGCCTCAGCCTGCGGTCCAGAGAGACCCGGGTTTGGTTCCTGCTAAGGGCATGTACCTCGGCTGCAGTTAGTCTCCGGCCCTGGTATGGGTTGTGCGGGAAGTGGCCACTAGATGTGTCCCTTTCACGTCGATGCCTCCCCCCCAACTCTATCTGAACACAAATAGAAAAAATGTCCTCGGGTGAGGATAAAAAAATAAAGAAAGAAAACAACCAGGAGAGGGAAAATGGTAGCAGACTGAATGGAAATTATAATGACTGTCTCCCAAGACCAAATTAGAATTACAACTAAAACATAGAAAAAGTCATCAAGAATAACCAATTGAAAACCAGCTGGAGAAAACCCATATAACCAAGGATGTAAAGAGGAGCATAAATTGACTCTGGTAGAAGGTGTGGAGGCATGAGAGGGCTGGCTGGGCTCCCACAGGCAGAAGCTGAGGGATATCTCAGCTGTGAGAAGTTCCCCCTAAGACGTCTAGAGTTTAAACTCCTAGCTGGGCTCCCCAGCACAGAGTGGCTAAACTAGGAAACATAAAACCTGGCTGTGAAAAACACCAGTGCAAAGGTTCTATCCAGAAGGCAGGGGCGCTGGTAACATGGGCAACCCCTGAAGGGCCAGTGCACTAAATTTCATCAACAGCCGCTCACCTAGGGCTCAGGCAGAGAGTGGGCTGAGTGGACTGGAGCTGCTTGAGGAGAGTCAGGGGTTTATAGAAATGGGGAGAAAGTTGTGAAAGCTGCTGTCTGGGTCCCTGTGCTGAGTCATTAACCCATGATGCAGAAACCACCTTTCTCAGGCAGAGTTTTCCCATCAAAGCAGCTTTAGCCCAGAGAGAAGCAATTGCACCACTTATTGGAATTTCTCTCACTCCGCTCACCAGGAGGAGATTACGTCTGGCACAGAAGTACAACCTGAGGCTCAGTACATGTCTGAGACTAACAGCCCACAGGCAGAGGCAGATCACAGGGAGATTTGAGTCTTTCCCTGGCCTGTAAATCTGCCTGGGAGAGTAAGACCAGACATTGGTGTTCAGCTTGGCCCTTCTATGCACATCCAAACCTAGCAGAGAAAGCCACAAACTACAGATAATTGATACCCACAGGGAGATTTTAGCAAACCCTGCTGAGACAGCCAATAGGGTGAAACAAAGCAATTAGGTGCCAAATGAAAGAACAAGAGAATTCGTCAGAAGTAGGGCTAAATGAAAATGGAGATAAGTAAGTTATCAGATATAGAGTTCAGGATAATCAATAGCATGAGAAAAGATATAGAAACAATGAAAATCAACCAACTGCAATTGAAAAACAAACAAGTGGAAACAAAGAATGACATAGCCAAAATAAAGAATACACTGGGAGCCCTGGCTGGTTTGGCTCAGTGGTTAGAGCGTCCACCTGCGGTCCAGAAAGACCCGGGTTCGGTTCCCGCTAAGGGCATGTACCTCGGTTGCAGTTTGTCCCCGGCCCTGGATGGTCATGTGGGTGGCAGCCACTCGATGTGTCCCTTTCACGTCAATGTTTCTCTCTCTCTCTCTCTCTCCCT